AAAAAAAAAAAAAAAAAAAAAAAAATTAAGCAGATCAGGATTTGCAGCCATCTCCCTCAATATTATGTGGTTTTTTTTTTTTTTTTTTTTTTTTTAGATATCCTACTTCATTGTGTTGTGAGTTGGTATTAGAGGCAGTTAACAATTGTATGCAAGTTACAATGCTGAGCTCTTGAATAATGGTTAATTGTGGGAAGCCATTCTCACTCAGTGATTTTTGAGTTACCTCCCTGGCTGGGTGACAGGCACTCAGGCAAGCTTTGTCAGAGCCTTCCCCACCCTGTCTCAGGTGCAAGGGCTTGTCCGTGTGGGGGTGTGCCTGACCACTGACCTGAAGACCAATCACTGACCCTGACCTTGGAATGCTGCCCGCCTCAACCTTCATTGGATGGAATTTTCCCTTTAGTTTTTTGTTCCCCAATAAAAGCTCACTCCCTGGCGTGTTCCCTCTCTCTCCATGGCCTCTCGTGTTAACCTTGCTACCGCATTAGGTGGCTGGAGGCAGGAGCTAGGAGGAGCCATCTCTGAGCTGGGCAAAAAAGGTCGCTGAGAGTCATGTCTCTTTAATTTAAACTCACTAGTTAATTTCTATGCTTCAAACCTCTATTATGAAGCTAGCGTGCTGGTCGTGTGGCTGGGTTAATCTTCATTGTAAACAATAAACAGATTTTTTGTCTTCATTTTACAGGTGAGGAAACTGAACAGAAAGGTAGACTACCTTTCCCAGGATTGTGCAATTAGAGAGTGCCAGAACCCAGTCCATAATCCTCGCATATATAGCTCTAAAATTTATGTTCTTAAGCTCTGGACTGGTTTGTTTGTTTGATATTGTTTAAAATACAAAGTACTAAATTTTTGTTGAAACTAGCTGACATAATACCATATTAAAGAATATGGAATTAAAGGTGATTAATCATTCCCCACTCTTACCCTTCCCCACTCCTATGCCCTGAGATACCAATTTCAACAGCCTTGTGGGTGTCCTTTTTCAAAGCTTTATCTCTTTGCTCACACAAACTCTGACAAACATGTGCATGGCTTGAATTGCTTGGATTTCCCCACATATTAGTTTTATATATTCATTATATTCACATATTATTTTTATATAGTCATTTGCCTTTTCCACTTAATATATGACACATACTCTCTACACAAAGGTAGACCTAAATCTTTTCTTCTAACTTCTTTGTCATCAATATATGCATATGATTTTTTTAAATGAGCTAATTCATATTTGCTGGGGGTGCTATTAGGGCTATTTCCCTTTTCTCCATTCCTTTTTTTTTTTTTTTTCTTTTCCTTCAGGGCTGAGGACCGAACTCAGGGCCTTGCACTAGGTGAGCACTCTGCTACTGAGCTAAATCCCCAACCCCTCTCCATTCTTATACAATAGGATTGCTAGATTGAGCAAATGAAATTCCCAGATAATAATCAAATTTGGATTTCATAGAAACAAAGCATTTTTAAATATACGTATGCCCCCATGAAATGATTCTTGGTTTCTCTGAAATTAAAATTTAACCTGGTATTCATCCTTTATATAATATAACTATTGAATAATCTTGTTATATAATCATATGCAAACATGTACATTTGGAGCACTATTATACACATTTCCTTGCATCTTAATATTATGATCCAGCAATACCCAAGTAAAATCCCTTTGAGTCAAACAATGTGGCTTATTGTTTTCAATGGCTACGTAGGAGTCCTTGGCAGGAGAGTCTCTCTTCTGCTCCTTCCCCATGATCACCAGCCTCTTTTAACACTCTCCTAGAATCTCCTGATCCTCTCCTGGCTCAGTGGGGCCTCTTCTATGCCATCCCACCCCATCTTTATCTTGGAGCTCATGCTCAGGAACAGGGGACAGCAATATTCAGAGACATTTCAAAAACCAGCACTTGCCACTGGGAACATATTGAACTTTTTTAAATCCATTTTTTTTTTTTTTAGGAGAAATGCCTGCGGTTAGCTTCATGGAAAGGAAAACAAGTGAGAAAGTCCAGCTAGATTTGGAAAAGGTACTAAGAATTTAGATTTCCTATTATGCCGGTGTTCCTGCTTACTTTCCACGGTGCTCTCTATTTATGAAAAGAGATCAATTTTATTCTTTGGGCTTTAGAAGAAAAGCTTTGCACGTTAACCATATTTCTTCTTTTGAACAGAGACATAGGTTTACCCAAGGGATACAAATGACCAGGAAGAAAAAGGATTCCAGTTCTTCTGGCTGAGCATTCTGATTAGTCATCTATACCCAACAGCTGGGGTGTCTGAGAGACCTCAGCTTTGCCCTGAAGAATTAAAATGTCCTTCCTGGAACCTTCTTGTTCACCTTCTTTGGAATTTCTTGCTGGTTTTCCAGGGCAAGAGATGGCAGGAGCCAGGACAGCAGGATGAGGGGGGGGGGAGGAGAAAAGAAGAGGAAAGAAAGCAGTAGAGGGAGAAATGAGGCTCAAGGGTCAAGTGACAAAGGGGCAGCTTTGAAGACTTTGGGTAGGGAAGGAGGGGGAGTATGGAGATGCAGCCTACCTGGGGACAAACAGTACACTCGATTTTCTTCCGGGGGAGGGGGGGTCATTGGACATTGGGGAGGTCTCTTTGGGCACCAGCTCCCTGGCTGGAGTAGGGAAGGGCCAAGGAAGGTGGGTGGTTAGGAAAACCACATCCTGGATAGGAGGAGGCGGGAGGGATTGAAAAGGTGGGGCAGCTCTCTAGCCAACGTTCAAATTTGCTTCAGGCCTTTCTTGGGGGGCCTTGTCCAAAGAGAAGAAAAGGGAGCCCCAGGGTAAAGCCTGCAACAGCGACTTCCTAAAGAGAGGCGCAAAAGCTGGGTCTCCAGAGGCTAGGTCAGGATCCGACAGGTTGTGGACTGCGCCCCAATTTCCCAACAGAACCTCTTCCTTGCATGGAAGGGTAGAGTGCATGACCATGTTCACGCCGAGTGCCACGCGAGCCTCCTGCCTCCCAGCGCCGGTAGGGTCCTCTCCTGGGCAGTCAGCGCGGGTTGCTTGATGCCCTGTACACACCATCAACTGACTTGGCGACTCCAAGTGTGAGCCCCTGAGACCTGTGGTGCTGAGCAGAGCCGTGCGGGCGGGCGGGGCGTCACAAAGGCGACCCGGAGATGGACATTTATTTACCTGGGCGATGGCAGGGTGCGGACCCCCGGGTGCTCAGAGTTGGCGTCCGAGCAGCAGCGGCGTGGGTAAAGCAGGCAGGCACTCGCCATCCCTGCAGCCCAAACCGGGCACAGCCGGAGCGGGGCGCAGCGAGTGGGTAACTGGCGACGGGGCGCGGGTTGCAGGCTGCCAAGTCCCTCCGGGAGGCTCAGGCGGGGTGGCGGAGGGACGCCCAGAGGTCTGGAGCGCGAGGGGCGGGCTGCCTTCCTCGCCCGCCTCCTCCTGGACGTCCTTGGGAGTCTCCCCAGCCGCCCTGCATCGCCCGATGGATAGGACATCCTTAGGTTTCCTGACTGGCTGTGTGATATGGTAGATGGAGCCCAGCTTGGAGTCCCAGCTTGGGTTGGAATCCAAGGTCTTACCTTCTATTTCCCCATTTGTAAAGTGGATGGATTCATCTCTTTCTGAAGAGGATGGGGCAGAAGTATCTTGGTCCCCTCCTACTTCCTAATGGCAGCCAACATTTGGGTAGGGTTTCCAATGTTCTAAGCGCTCTTCTGTCCCTTTCCCTAACTCAGCTCATTTCATACTCCCAACACTAGAAGAAAGGTACCATTACCCTATTTACAGATGCAGAGACTGAGGCACAAAGAAATTAAGGTAACACAGAAGGAATCAACAGGCCAGAGCCCAACCCACGAAGCTACACTGCCTCTCACTTGTGATGAGGGTCTAGGATTCTCTCAGTCATCATATTTGATTTGGGGGTCCCTCAAAAAAAACCTCTCCAGTTCCACCAAACATATTCTTCTACCCACACCCCAACTGTTTAAATATCTATGGTTCTTCCCACTTTTGACTTTGAGGAGGAGAGAGAGCTAGCTTTGTTTTGTTTTTGTTTGTTTGATTTTGCAGTGTTAGAGATGCAATGTAGGGCTTCACACATGCAAGGCAAGTACTGTACCCCTGAGCGACACCTCCACCCCTTCAGTTTGGCTTTTGAATTGGTTTAGATTTGGGGGCACACCTTTTCAATGTTTTGATCCGTAGTATGGCCTGCAGAGGTTCCCCAACCTTGAGTAGCTTACAAGTGATTGAAGAGACATCCCAAATTTTTCATTTGTTAAATGTTTAAGTACTCACTCGATAGAAGACTGGGGATGGCCCTAGTCCCAAGCAGTGTGGATCCCTTAGGAGAGAAAGACAAGGACATAGATCATACGCAGTGATGCACACTGGTAAGAAGGAACAGAGAAGGGAGCACGCTGAACATGCAGGCAGGGACTCTGGGAACTGGCTAGAGCCTGGGGTCACGGGTGACAGCAGGCTACTGTTAAATCCTTCTCAGAAGTCTGTCCAGATCTGAATGTGGGAGGGCCTGCTGCAGGCAGGGGCCAGACTGTTCAGTGAGTAGGAAGGGAACATGATGGAGGAGGAATAATAAAAAGAGAAAGTCACCAGGAAGGCCCACATAGCACTTGCTGGAGGATGCTCATTGTCTGTGGTGTTGATGGGAGCAGGAGGAGACCTGGGCCCATCACTGGAAACAGAGGATGGGACAAAGACAGGTAGACCACCGTGGGTCCTGTTCAGCAGGATGCAATGGGTGAAATATACACAGAGCCACGGAAGGAATTTTACAGACATTAAACACACATCTGGCAAACACACAGACAAAAAGGGGCACATCAAACATACTGGAATAGTCGTCTACCATGTACAGGAGAGAGCAATGGAATGAGATAAAGAGCTAAAGGGAATAAATGAATAAGTAAAACCAAAGTGGTGTCTCGTGCACACTAACAATGTCTATCCCACATTGAGAAAAATATAATTTTCCCCTTTGCATTTGAGGCCCCAAAAAATAGAGGTAAGAAAAAAAGTTCAAGAGAAAAGAGTCAGAAAGCCCAGGTTCTCATTCTGGGGTCCTGTTTCTCACTTGTTATGTGAACTCAGGCAAGATCCTTTACCTCTCTGGACTCCAGCATGCACCTGAAACCAATTCTCGGGTCTATTTCCAGTGCTACGATTTTATGAGCTGGGACCAACAATCTTGGGCTTCCTTGATAGAGTAGCCAATAAAAGCTTGAACCTGGACATACAGAGGTAGGGGGTTGGGAGAAGCAAGGAAAATTAAGGAAGTTTTGAGCAGGAGAAACTTTGAAAGAAAAAAAAACTTGTGAAAACTTCAGCAGATTCCTTGTATCAAGCAGGGCAGGGAGACCCCCATGGGTCCTGTTCAGCGGGACTCCCAAGGTTGGCTGGTGACACCACCTGCAATCCAACAGCCAAATCAGAAACACCAGTTGTCAAATCATGTCCTCTAAGGCCCTCACAGACCCAGTTTCCACTGTAGTGCCTGGATTTCCCACCACCATCCTTCCTCTACTCCCCCAGTGTGTCCATTCTACACCGAGACTGACCACATCACCTCCACCCAGATGACCCTTCCTCTCCATAGCGCTCCCTGACCTTAGCTGAGGTTCTCTACCACTGTTCTGCTGCTCTACCTCTCGAATGTACGTCAGCAATGCAGCTCAGAGCACACAGAGGCTCACATCCAGAGAAGCAGGCAGACCAGGTCAGAATTCCAAACACTCAGGGAGAAGGAACAGCAGGAATCCTGGCCTCTTGGACACAGTCTTTAAGCCCCCTCCATGCAGGACCTCCTGAAGGTCCTACTGGATCTAGCACCTCTGCCACATGTCCAATATTTTACTTCCCTGAAGGTGAACACATCCTATGCATTCGCAGCCCTGTGGCCTCTCACATATTTATTGTCCCCTCTGCCTGGAATGTATCAGTACTTCCACCACCACCACCAGGCCAAGTGGGTCTGCCTTGCAGATCTGACCTTCAAAACCACGTCACCTATGTCACTTCCTCTGAACAGCCCTCTCTACTTCCTCCCTGCCCAGAGAGAATAAATGGTAGACTCTGGGTCTACCGTGACTATGCCTGGACCTTTTCACTTCTTGCATTGTGGTGAAATTGAGGACCGATCCTCATCCCTGGATAGACTGTGCGATCCTTACAGGTGTGGATTGTGTCATGGGGTGAACCTGAACCCCCCCTCAGCTGGTACCATGCTAATATAGCACACAGAGGACCACAGAGAAAATTGGTTCAACTGAGTTTAACTTCTGCTGGGCAGGTAATGGCTCTTACTTTGTACTCCCCACAGAAAACAATTGCTTGTCTTTCCTCATTTTTGGAAGCCCTGCTTACCACGCAGCTGCACAACACATCTGGGTTCTTTGATGGATGAAGAAAGTGAACCCATCCAGTCTCAAGACCAGAGTTGCTGGGCCACCCTGCCCGATGTATGCCTGCGACGTGTCTTCTGGTGGCTGGGAGACAGGGACAGGTCCAGGGCAGCCCTGGTCTGCAGGAAGTGGAACCAGATGATGTATTCAGCTGACCTCTGGCGATACAGGACCATCACCTTCAGCGGGAGACCTTCCCGGGTACATGCATCCGAATTTGAGTCAGCTCTTTGGTATGTTAAGAAATTTGGCCGTTACCTGGAACACCTGGAAATCAAATTCCTGAATCCTTACAATGCTGTCTTGACGAAGAAGTTCCAGGTCACCATGCGAGGTCTTCTCTCGTGCCTGGGCAAGAGTAACAACCGCCTGAAGTCTCTTTCCATTCAGCACTTGGAACTGGACCGCCTGGTCTGGAGGAACAGCATCAGGAGCTCTCTCATCAAGAGCCTGAGCTTCTTCCTAAAGAAAATGGGCAAACACCTGGACTACCTCAGCCTGAAAGGGGCCAGGCTCACAGTGGAGCAAGGCTGTCATGTCCTCAACTCCCTGAGCTACCTACGGAACGAGAGCATGGCCTCGGAACTCAACATTGAGGATTACTTCAGCCATCACCTGGCCGTCTACAGCAGCCCCCAGTTCAACAAGACCATGGCCACGTTCCACAACCTGGTGTCCCTGACGCTCAACTACAACTGTATCTCCGATGAGCTGCTCGAGAACTTGGGTGAGAACAACGCCAGCACCCTCTGGACCATGAACATCAAATGCCATATTCACGATCCCCATGGCCAAGTCGTCTGGGGCATGTCCTGGGCCAAGCTGGCCAGACAGGCCAACAACCTGAAGGTGAACTTCTTCTTTGAGCGGGTCATGAAGTACGAGCGCTTGGCCCGGATCCTCCTGCAGGAGATCCCGGTCAGGAGCATCAGTCTGAGAAGCTGCTATTTCAGTGATCCAGACTGGTCCATGCGGCCCACTCTGATGGACCTCCTCCCCACCTTCCGGCACACTCTGCAGGTGAGTGGGAAGTGAGACTCGGGAAGGCTTGAGAAGAGCGACTGTCACTCAGGTGACTGGCTTTCCCAGAGGAAAGCCCCCCTGCCCGCTCTTAGCTCAGCTCCCACACATCTCAAATTGAGGGTCTAGGAAATGTTTCCCAGACCAACTTCCCCTGTGTCCCCAATGCCACAGCAGATGACAAAGACTGCTGCTCATCACAGACTCTTTTCTTATTGCTATTCCCTAAACAATACAGAATAACAACTATTTACATAACATTTACGTTGTTCTTAGGTATTATAAGTCATCTCCAGGTGATTTAAAGTATACAGGAGGATGCACATGGGTTATATTCAAATACTATGCCATTTTATAAAAGGAACTTGAGCATCCATGGATTTTGGTATCTGAACAGGGGGAGTCCTGGAAGCAATCCCTTATACATACCAAGGGATGACTGTAGCTGGTTTGAGCTTTTCCTGAAATACAGGAATTTTCTGGTTGGTTGTTAACCAAGAAAATCCTCTAGATCCTTAGCTCAGAGCTGGGAAGTCAGAGTTAGGAGGAGCCTTCCAAGTGATAGGTGGTCAGCCTTTTCCACCTTCCTACCAGGCCACAACAGAACACAGAGTCCCTGTGGCTCCTGTGGTCGGTGCTATGCAGGGACCTATCTGATTACAAAAGTGCCTGCTACTTGGAAAGATGGGTTGGGAGAGAACCAAACTAACCTAAAAGCTAAATTCAATTTAGTCCACTGAAGAGCTTGGAGGTTCTGGGCTATTCTCTAATCTTGCATTTTCCCCCATATATAAAACCAGAATCATTTTTGAGCCTCCTAAGGGCCTCCCAGTGGGTCTAACAATTGACATGAA